CATGCAATTCCCCCCCCCCCCCACACACACACACACTCCTTCAACATTCTCTTACAATTCGACCCTAATTTTTTTTTTTATTCTACCAAAAAACCCTAGCTTTTTTAATACCTCTCAGGTACCTCTATTATTTGACATTTTTTAACTTTTCTCCTGTCAACTTTAGAGAATGTTTGGTAGTGTGGTGTCTCTGAATCATAGTTTATTAACTGTTTTCCATTGGGGTGTGATTAAAATCAAAGATTAAAATATTGAATTGGTATTGATGTATTCAAATATGTTTGGATATATCAATATAAAGAATTTGTTTAATATCTAAAACTTTAAAACTAAGGCTCAGTTTGGAAGGAGTACAAATGCAAATATATAGAGTGTAAAATCTTATATTTTGTATTATTTTATATTATATATATCTGCATTTGTACTCTTTTCAAACTGAGCCTAATGAATAGGACCCTCTAATACCCAAAAACTAAAGAAAATATGTAATATTGTTATTTTGGAGAATACAAAGAATTACCAAACACCACTTAGTAACTATAATAGAAGTGATTCACATGTACTATTGTTATTTTTAATGACAACTTGCCTTGATCAATTACTCTACCCTATCAGTAAGTTCTCTCTTCTCTCTCTGAAGGCAGGGACAGAGCAGGGATGCACATAAGACCCACTGTCCATAGAACAGAAAGACTAAACGGTCAGTGGGTTTGAGTTGATCCATTTCCCTGCTCCATATCCATATTTGATGTATTTGGATCCCCATAAGAAATCGCATTTTTAAAATAAACCCAACCCTCAACTTGGAGGATGGAGCCAATGGAAACTTCAGATCGAACCTGTCTCATACCCTACTACCTCACATGGCAAAGTGGTGGAAGCGCAATAAGTGGATAGCTAGCTGCAACAAACATACATATCACCGTCCAGATGGAATCTACATGAAAAAGCAGAATTTCTGCTTGGGAGGTGGGATGATAACATGGGCAGTGTCCTTGCCAAATGGGGAAACACAAAGTAATAATTTTGATCAGAGAATGATGATTGTAGACCGACCCACAACCCCTTAAACTAAGCCGGAGCACCAAAAGAAACAAAGATGCTATAATACCCAAGTACAGACCAGGATCAAGATCATGGGGGATCATGATGGCTCCTTTAAATCCTAAAACGACATGATGCTCTCCAACTAAGAATCCAACTACAGGGTTGAGTAGGAGGCCACTGGTTATATATATTATACCTTGATCCACCTTATTTTCTATCTAATCCTTTTAAAATCAAATGGCACTTTTGAGTTCAAGCTCTACACTAGTCACTAGGCTTTGTTTGGATAATTTTCTTCTTTTACAATTTTGGGCTGTCAAAGAATAAGATTGAGCCGAAAAGTGTTTTGAATGTTTGGTAAGAGTTTAAAATGCTTTTAAAAAATATAACAATCTGAAGCCAAAACTCATTTAAACCCCAATGCACAATGCCTAAAATTAATGGCTCAGTTGATAAGTTATCTAACTGTTTGTAACAGAAACCTAGGATGTAGGATCAAATCCGCGGCCACCAGGGTCGGGGGTTATGGGTTTTGGAGGATGGGCAGACCCCATTGTGTAACCCCATGAAGTGGCAACCTAAATTTATTACTAAAAAAGAAATACTTATCAAGAGAAGAGGATAAAACAATATAATAATAATAATAATAATAATAATAATAGCCATTTAGCATTCAAACATTGAGATAAAAGATTTCAATCTAACATCATTCTTTTTTTGGTGTAAGACTCTTATCCTTACTTTTAAATCTTATCTTCTTGACTAGAGCCTTTTAACTTTTGGGGGTTTGAAATAGAATAATGATACCAATAATATCATAGTTTGAAATGAAAATTTTAATTTGGATTTTCCTCTGCAGGAATATTCCAAAGCAAAGTATCCAGCTTGTGGGCCAATTTCTAGGTCCATCATGTGTGAAACTTTAGTGGCAATTGATGGGTCCATCTCTTCCACGTGGCAACTTCAGCAATAACCTTTCTATCACATGTCAAAAGAATCATTCTCTAGTCTTCCCTATTTAAAAATGGTAAAACAACAATTTTCAAGGGCCAACCAGTGGTGCAATAGAAGGCAATACAAAATGAATCACAGTGCTGCAATAGGCAAGTATATTGAGTCAAGACTAAATGATTTCATTCCAGTTTTGCCAACACTGTTATTTGTGTTGTTTTTAATGTCCAGATTATGAGAACCTTATAGAGTGGCCATGTCTACAATTCACCTACTCAATCAGCTGTATGAACAAACAAACATCTATTGATTTTCTTGTCCATCTATTTGATCAAATAACCTTCTTTGCTTCTGTTTCTCTACATGTTTTGGGAGTCACCCATTGAATGGATTGATCAGGAGCTATCTGGTTTCTTGTCTGTTTCTGGTTTCTAGGTTTATAGAGTTGCCAACCACTCAACCAGGCAGCCTGAAATTGAATCCTAACCTATACCATTACTTGGGTAAAGAACATTGCAACAAATGAAACTAGAATTTGGAATTCCATTAATTTGTAAAGTCAGAGAGGAAAGGGATCAATTTTCAAGGCTTTGGGTACCTAGTTGAGGGTTATGCACTCCAGTCCATGACTTATCTCTCGGGTTGTACTCTGTAGAAAGCTAGACTAGATGGCTTAAGTGATCAAATTAATTAGAGCCAGAACTGTGTGTAGTCATGATGACCAAATCATCTTGGAAAATGAATTGGTTCTTCAATAAAAAACGAATTATATTCATTTTTTTGTATTTTATTTAATTCGGAAAAAACTCCAATAATTAAGAAATGGGTCATGTTGTGGCATAGTCAGAAGTCAGGAAAACTTGGTATGTGTTTGGTTTTGTTTATATTTATTGGGTAAACGGTGTCACATAGGCACTCCATCTAAATCATCTGTGCATCTTTCCCGTTTCAGGAAGCTTCATTTTGGAATTTCCTGAAACGGATAGGCGTTTATTGGCACTTTGCTGATGTGGTGCCTAATGACGCCTATGTATCATAAATGACCTCATTAATTACTCTTTTCAGTTTTTCAGTCACATAAATACAAACATTTACTCAATAAACATAAAGGAAACCAAATATCCTCTTGGTTGTAAGTATTTTAGGTCTATTTGGTTCACGGGACATTCAGATTGCAGTCGTTTGATTGGGCAGAATGAGATGCCTATTCTGGTTCCCATTTATGGCCTCTCCCTTGGGAATGAGAATTTCATTCCATCCAGGATACGGCGATGCCAACCCTTCTTGAGAATCGTACATATTTTACGCCAATTCTCATTCTCGTCTAAACCAAACGAGGGGAATGGATATTTTCAGTTCAATTTTAGGGATTTCAATTCTGATTCCAATTCTGATCATCTGATGGACTGATGGTAAATCAAAAGGACCCTTAGTTTTGGAAGTATGAATCTAGAAGACCAATCTATTTAGAAAATGGTGTGAAAAATTAGAAGGAAAGTTATTTTATTGACCATTAGTATTAGGGATGTTCATGGTCCAGTTTGGCGGGGTTTAGAATAGATCTTAGAGCAAACCAATAAATTGTGGTTTGAGAAATTCCCAAGCCAAAGAAAACTGTTTTGGCATGGAAACCAAACTAAGTCAAACCATTGTATTATGGTTTGGTGTGGTTTTTAATGTGGTATTGGGACTTTGGACCATTATATGATTCTATTGGGCTTTTAATTCAATTAGAAAGCCCAAATAACATCCCTAAAAATTAAAACTTAAAACTTTTATTTTATTGTAAAATAAAATAGTTTTATTATATATTTATAATTTTATACATTCAATTTAGATATATTATATTATATTTAATATTTATATATAATTTTGGTTTATAGTTTACGGTTTGGTTTGGTCTATAAAATCCAAAAAATCAAACCAAAACTGTAAACCGCAATTTAGTAAAATATCAAACCGAATCAAACCATTTTTTAAGTGTAGGTTGAAGCAAACTGCAAATTCGATTTGGTGGTTTGGTTTTGCAGTTTGAACCATTTAATTAACACCCCTAATTAGTATTGGTTATTTTGAAAAATTTTCTTTTCGACATGCATTTTACATACTATAATAGATGTATTACATTCTAAATTTCAAAGTGGGAAGAAACAACAGATTCTGGATTGGTAGCAATTGATTTATTTGTGTGGAAGGAATATTGAATCCGGCATTGAAACACAAATAGTCTGCGTTAGAATAAATCATAAATAACTTTGATGCATTAACATCATCACCATCTAAAGC